TAGGGAAAGGTGGAGACTATGAGTTTGGCACCAGGGGTTTTTTCTGAATACCAAGATGTCCGGCCCTGGGTCAGTGTGAATCAGAGTAGGAAAGGGCTGGGGCTGAAAGCTCTAGTTTTCGTTCCTAGCTGCGCCACTTAGCTGTGTGAGTGTGGACGCGCCACTTACCCTCTCTGAGCCTCATTTGAAAATGGGGGTAACTGTGCCTAGTCCATGGTATTGTTATGAGTATTACATGAGATCCTGCAGATAGTAATTAGCATGAACCTCCAGCTGACCATCCCCCTGCATCTCCCAGGGATCCTGGAGTTCTTCCACCACCAGCTGAAGGACATCATCGAGTATGCAGAGCTCAAAACCGACGTGTTCCAGAGTCTGAGGGAGGTGGGAAACGCCATCCTGTTCTGCCTGCTTATCGAGCAAGCTCTGGTGAGTCCTGAACCCCGAGGGACTGGCATGTCTCCAGGATGGAAGGGAACCCCACCACCACCTCAACAGGTGCCCAAGGCCCCTCTAGCGCACCCCGCCCAGGAGCCCTGCAGCTTAGTTCTCTGCTCTTCCAGGGCGGGCACACGCTCCTCTCCATTCCATTCAGACCACTCTGACCATTCGGACACCGCAGGGAGTCAGACAGGCCTGGGTTCCATCCCAGACCCCCTCCGCTAGCGGCAGCGCCTTAGCAGTCCATCGGGGCCTGGGTTTTCCATTCACTCCCTAGACGCATGGTTAACTCCTGGCTGCCACAGTCTGGGCACTGCACTAGGGGATGCAGCGGTAGCCGGGCCCTGCCTCGTGTCCTGGATGGTGGAGGGCAGACCTGCACTGATCAAGTGTTTACACAGAAACGATGTGTTTACTGTCACAGCAAGTACTGCGAGGGATGAGTGCGAGGTCCGGTCCGCTGGGAACCTAAAACCTGGTGTGGTCTTGAGGGTGAGGGAGGACTTCTCTGAGGAGATGACCTGGAAAATGACCAGGAATTGGCCTGGTGGAGAACTAGAGACAGCTGTTTCAGGCTAAGGGAAGGGCATGTAGTGTTGTCTCCTTTTGTTGTGATGGAAGACAGTGATTCTACTCTGCAGCGCAGTTTAAAGGCTGAAAGGAGATAAGGCATGTAAAGTGAGTACGGTAAGAACCAAATAATTGGTCGGAGTTATCGTAATGGGCAAAAAGCACGAGTCCCTGTGCTTCCACCTCTCGGGACCACACGGAACCAGCACAGTCTCTTCCACCGGGCCAGCCCTCATGGCTTATTCACAGAGGCTGCGTTCTCCACACACTCCCAGCACTCTCCACTTGGCTCTGGTCCCGTGAGGCGTCCACAGGTGGGCCCAGCCCTCCAGGCGCGGGGTGACTGGTACAGCCAGTGCAGTGGGAGGTAATGCAGAGGGGTGTTGCGTGATCCTCAGGACGCAGCAGGAGCATCTTTCAGCATCCATTCCTGCCTTCCTCTGTCCGCACACACGTTCAGCAAAAGGGTATTGAAAGCCTGCTCGTTGCCAAGTGCAGTCCTAAGTGGTGCGTAAATGGCCATGAATAAGAGAGACAAATCATTACCATTTTTATTCTGGAGAGGGAGGCGACTGAAGTAGTCAGCAGCCAGAGATGTGAATGCAGATGGTACGTGCTGTGAAAGAATAAACAGAGAAACAGGGCAGAGAGAGAGTCACGGGTCCCAGGAAGGCTGTGTTGTTTTTGGAGAGGATGGAGCTTGAGGTCTTTCAGAAATGGAGGGAACCCTGGAGTGAGCTGGAGTGAAGAGGTGATGTCGCCCAGGTAGGGGCTGAGGTGAGAGAGGTGGGTGGCCTCAGTTCTGGGCCGCGTGAGCCCCGCGGGAAACCTAAGGATGCTGTGAGATGGAGAGTGGGGGGGGGGGTCTGATTTACT